ACTTGTACAGTAGGAATATCGAGACCTCTACAATACAAATATAATAAATAAGTAAACGAGAATAAATAAATAAAAATTATATCTATTTCTTCATACTTACCGACTTCCAACATCTGTAGCTATTAAAACTTTTACAACTTCTGCCTTAAATTTTCCCAAACTATTTAATCTTTCTTTCTGACTCATTGATGAATGTAAGCTAGTACATCGAATATCCAATTCTACCAACATTACGCGTAATAATTCAGCAGTTTTACAACGTCCACAAAATATTATTGTAGATTGGTTTAAAAATTCTTTAGAACGAAGAAGATGAACTAAATAAGGCTCACGGACGTGAGATGGAATGAAAATGTAATATTGTGCCAAAGTTGATACTGTCGATGTGCTAGATTCAAATTTGGTAAATACCACGTATTAGATGTATATACTTATATATATATATATATATATTTCTTTTAAACAAAAAAAAAAAAAACTAACTCTGATTTAATTTGATATACAAAAGGCTTCTTGTTCGAGTCTTCTTCAAGATTTCCTAATGCCAGAATATTTTCTGTCATTGTCGCCGTAAATAGCAACGTTTGTCTTTTTGAAGGAATATTTTCAAATATAACACTCAGGTCATTTGCGAATGTGTCCGATAAAAGACGATCAGCCTCATCAAGTACCTTTATCGATACATATATATATATATTATTATTATCGGAATTTATGCAAAAAGTGGATAAGAAAAAAAAATCATAATATAATAAAAAATAACACTTACTAAAAATCGAATCTTATTAAGACTTGATTTAATATCGCTACTTTTAATATGATCTACTAATCTTCCGGGTGTAGCGATAACAACATGTGGTTTTCTCGAAAGTTGTATCGCTTGAGTCATCATATCTAGACCTCCAATTATAACACATTCTTTTATATTTACACCCTTACCAAGTACTCTAAATTGATCTGCAATTTGAATAGCCAATTCTCTGGTCAAATAAATAAAAGTTACTAGTCAGAATCACGATAGTTTTTAAGAGTAATTAATTAATACCTTGTTGGAGGTAAAAAAAAAAAAAAAAAAAAAAAATCATGAGGATAACTTTTTAATAAATTGATACCTTGTAGGAGTTAAAACAAGAGCGAAAATACCAAAAGGATCTTCAGACAATTTTTGTAAAATTGGCAATGCGAAAGCTGCAGTTTTACCACTTCCAGTCTTTGCTTCTCCTATGCAATCTTTTCCTAACAAAATTTTTGGTATACATGCACTTTGAATTTCAGTTGGGAATTTTATGGACATTGCATTTAATGCATCTATTAACCATGAATTCAGCCCCAATTGCTCAAAGCTTGTTGGAAGCTCTGGATTTTTCGAAAAAGAATCAATTATTTCCTCTTTTTGCTCTGAAGACGACATTTACGTTTAGCAATAGAAATTAAAAAAAAAAAAAATTATTTTTTTTTTATTAGATAGTGATTTGACAGTTCATTGGACCTTCAGATCTTTTCATTTGCTGGCACATGATTAAAGGTGTAGTCAATAAATTATAAATTATTATCGTTATGGAGTTGGGACCTATAGTCACCGATGTCAACCGAAATCAGAAATTATTTATGGTTCTGGTTCGGTCTTTACGTAGAGATACATCAAACAATTTGATTGGGTAATGTAAGTATTACAGAAGACCGATCCTTGGGTTGGAACATCCATGGATTGGTACCTCATGGGCCGTGGTCTCAAAAATTTGGATCCAGATATTTAATCTGATTGGGAAAATTATAGATGTCATCCTTATTTACGCAATTTTGATCCATGGATTGCACCATGCGGCCATGGGCTGGATCCGGACTTCGAAATATTCGGCCATGAGGAACCCTACGGATCTTGGATCGGTCCTTCGGTCTTTTGTATGTAGGACCGATGTAATTTTATCATAAAGTGTGTTTTCATATGCCAAAAGCAATAAATGTTGTGAGAGCGGATTTGGGATTTCTTAAGATTTTAAGGATAGAATACGTATAAGTTTATACGTACATATAAATAAATTCTACCCTAAAATTCTAATTTTATTAAGAAATCCAAATCCGTCCTTATTTACGTTATTATATTAATCTTTGAAATGTTTAAATCTTTTGTTACAATTTATTTAGTAAGTGTACAACATCTTAAAAGCCGATTATTTCATAATCTAAGAAATTCAAGGAATTCGAATATATTTATCCCACCAATGTTCAAAAAAAAAAAAAAACTAACTCTGATTTAATTTGATATACAAAAGGCTTCTTGTTCGAGTCTTCTTCAAGAT